CGATATTTCCCTCTAAGCACGCACCTGTCAGCGATACGACGCCGCGCCCCGGAAATTGATCCCGCTCGTAACTTACGCGGCGGCAAATCAGCGCTAATAATGACCATTAAATAATGACCGTTCGTCGGAGTAATCGATATCGTGTACAGGTGTGCGAACCTCGCGCGAGTGCGCGCGCGTTGTAATCAAGTGATTCGCGCCGATCGCGAATCGCGAATCGCCCACGGGACTCGCGGCGCGCCGGCGAGCCGGTTCGCCGGCAAAGTTGCCGAAGATTCACCGAGAATATCGAGATATCTCGGCCCCGCGCAACGCGGTATCGATCCTCGATCGCTATCTGCCCACGTAGACCCGATATCCGGCTACGCGTACACCCAGCCCGAGCTCGTATCGATTATCGATCGTTTCCGCGCCGCCGCGCCGCACTGGGGTCAAAGGTCGATTCAAAATCAACGGCGATTCGCGCCGGAACACCGTCTCCTCTCGGCTCCACCGACGCTGCAGGATTTCCTGCTTCTAATCTGCGACAATGTCGGTCTCCATCCAGCTGGACATCGTCGGAATCAGCCGCGCCCTAAATCCGTCGGTCAAAAAGCAGCTCGATGCCCGGAGTATGGTGCTGCCAAGTATCTACAGTAATGTCTCCCTAATTGTTGGCAATTTGTAACTATAAAAATAAACCCCCAAGGATCGAATAATCGATTAATTAATAATCGTAAAACCGAACGTCGTCAATGAAAAGCATCGTGCAATTGGAAGCTGCAAATTGCGACGATTGGATCGTCGATGTCTCTGTACACTGTTTCAAGTTTCGCCTACCCATTTTCGTCATAAATCCATAAAATCCGCAGTCCAGGAATGACTTAAAAGAGTACTTTCTTCCTTGATCTTCGCAACTTTAGCTGCGCGTCCTCCTCGAAAAGGGATGTTTACTTATTAACGACGCTTTGCAGAAGATTCCCATTAAGCTTCGCCGAAAAGAGAAAATCGAAATCACTTTAGTCTCCTCCCGGACGACGGTATCAATTTTTTAGGAGCGAGGGGAGAGCTCTGCCCGCGAAGCCAGCGTTTCATCGAGACCGTATTGTTCTTCGAGCGGTTTTTTGCAGACGTTCGCGTAGCTCCGCGGGGACGTTGAACTTTCGAGCGATAACCGCGGCTGCCAACGACAGTTCTTGCTCGGTAACAAATGTTCCTAATTATTCCCGCAGGATCTCTTACTTAGGAGTTCGTATTCTTCGCGTAATACACGACCACGGCCACCTGTGTTTTCGCCTCCGCAGTACTCCCTCCGCAATTTACGATAAAGTACCGCGGGAAACCGAGTTTATCCATCACGCTGACGTGCGCCATTCCTCACGCTAAATACCAGAAGTGCGTCTGTTCTTTTCTCGGTGGCACGGCGCGGTTCGCTTCGGATCCGGGATGGAGGCGGCGGGCACATTAATCGAGGCTGATCGCGCCGGTGATAATTATTTAACGACTTTGACGTCGGTTAACGACGACACGACTACCGGTCGCGAGACGTTACGCTCCTCCTTTTGTCAATTTCCTGTTACGCGCGGCGCTGGACAGCCTGCCGTTCGTAAACGGTGTTGCGTCCAATAAAGTCGATTCGCACTCGCACCGTCGTTCTTCGTTTATTGCTCGACCATGAATGCTTGTGGGAATCCGAGATTTTATCGCTTCGTTTCTACCGGCGCTGCGAAAGTCTCGATTCTTTGTCAATGGTTTTCGTTGTTGAAGAGCCGAACGCTTCGCCGAACACTGCGAGAACGTTTAAATTAGACGTCCATGGTTCCTAGAGTTCGCGGAATTTCTAGAATTATTTTTATCTCGCGCGAAGAATCGAAGTTAAATCGTAGACGGTCGCTTTAAAAATCTTGCGCACGGATACGGAAATTCGTATCGCCGCGGCACGATAATTCTCCCTAGACGAATCGAACGGGTGAAACGGAAGCAAATGCCCCAAATTCCCCGTGACGACAGAAATAGTCGAGCACGAGAGCACGGCTCAACCGAGACAGCTGGATCCCGTGCGTCGAGAGCCGCGGGAAAAAGACAGCCGTATCTCTCGACGAGTCAAAATGTTTCTTCTCTATCCCCGTCATTACGCTAATCCCCCGTATTTTAAATTTCGTGCCAGCTACGCGACCCACTTCCCGGGGAACCTGTCATTTTCCCCGCGGGTATCCTGACAGGATAATGAACCATTCCGCGCCGCATCGGATCACGTTCGGCGAAACCGGGGAAAAACGAGTTGTCACGGTAAAAAGTCGGTAGAGATAGGCAGAGACCCCATCGTTGAATAAATTGAATTCTACCTTGGCCCGCGATCCAGACGATAGCAAGAATTATCATTTTTCACTCGGCCAGATTGAAAAGAATCATTTTACCAGTTGCGAAATCTTTCTTTCCTCCTGCGCGTTATTCCAAGATTAATCTAACACGTCCGAAGATTTATGACAATAACGTGTACATACATTATTCAACGGAACACACACGTCGCCCGACTGATATTTCGCTGCGGATCGTGTAACGAAATTAAATGAAAAAATATATATATAAATAAATATATATATATGATTAAATGAAAATATATATATTGCAACGAACAGAGACAATTTTTATTTTGTTCGTAAATACGCGGTTTAATTATTACTAGATAAAACTAATCGAGAAGCTTCAAAGTGTTACACACTGCTAATCTCTGGCCCTTGTTCCTCGCAACAAACCCACGAAATGTCCACTCCGCGCAAACGTCCACGATCTAATAACAACGAATTAATTTATAGATTACAATTAAGGCGACCGGTGCACGCTGGACACCCGACTGGCCGAGCAGCTAGGGCCCACAGGAAATCTCGTCTTCGTTAAATCGGTTCGCAGAAATGCGCATCAGAGGGGGGACGGTAAAAAATGAGTGCTCTTCGAATCGGATCACAGCGACGATCTCCCTCGAATAAAGCGAGAAAGGGAGAGGGAGAGAAAGAGAACAATGGTAAAAGCCATCGAAGGGAGCCGGATCGGGCCGGCGTGGCATGGCGAGGCTCGCGCAATGGATCGATAAACCACTCGATATCCGTGAATGGGGATAGTTCTCGGACGGTCCCGACGTCGCCTCGGGAGGAAGGCAGAAAAAAATTAGGCTGAAATGACCGGATGTGGATAATCCCCCCGGTTACCCACGGCTGGGTGCCGTAACGGCCTCCGCGGGAGAAGAAAAAAGGGGGAGGAGAAAGGCGGAGAGGCTAGGACGTCGCTGAAAAATGGACGATGCGCGTTTCGCAAGAGATACGGCGCTGAGATCCGGCCGAAGCGACGCCTAATCCTGTTTTGAAAACTCGGTCTCGCATGACCGTGACAAACTCGACACCTCGAGATGGTTTATGGCGACGCCCGGGCCCACGGACCATGCGTCGCCATTATATCGTTCACGCTGCGTTCGACTGTCCCGGTGTTTTCGTTACCAAGGCCCGAAAGCCTGTATCGCGGGCCCCCGGTCCATCTATCGCAGACTCGAACTCTCGCTTTCGTCCATTAATTGGATCCCTATCTGCGGCTTGCAATCGGACTTCGTGGCCCGCCGTTCAATGAACAGATATCGGTCGCTCGTTTCTTACGGCCTTCTCGCTGCTGCCGATATTAATCTGCGGAGCAGCAGGATTCGATGATCACTTTGTTGCCAATGGGATCCGCTGATCGATCTCGACTGACAAGCAGTTCACTTTGTTGCACAAAGACCGGTCTTTGGGGAACGCATCGATCGATCCAGCTCGGGTTAGACCTTGGACCTTCGCTCTTATTTTTAGCAATTGTTTCGACGAAATCCGAAGAAGGCCGTTCCTCGTCCCGACCACCGAAATAATAAACCAGAATTTAGTTTCGTCGATGTTGCACGATTCGTTTACAGTTCTCGAAATTGCGTGCACCGTGCACGCGCGAGGAGAAACAGACGATAGCTTCGTTCGGCTCGGAAAGGACGACTCTGAACAAACCGAGCACGCTTTCCAGGTTGCATCGATTCTCGGCAGGAAAGTAAATCGGCGCGCATTAATTCGCGAGGCTTTCATCGGCGCGAGAATTACAGAGTCGACGTTCAAAGAGAACGATCTCCCATCCGAAATTCACCGATTCGAAATTGTTCTCGCTATATTATTTACGTCGACCGTTGGTCCACGAGCGCGAAATTACGGTCCGAGACGTGTTTACCGACGCGTCTTCGTGCAAGGATTTATTTTGGTCGCGTTGCGCCGACGAACCGTTCGTCGTCGATAAATCCCCTGTAATTTGCTGCGGAGACCGCTACCGGAACCCGTTCGCGCGTTCAAATTCGGTCGTCCCCTCGATTTGTGTCTCGTCTCGTCTCGTCTCGTCTCGTCTCGTCTCGTCGCGTCGCGACGCGTCGGGAGAATTGAATTCCGGCTCGCGGAGGAACAAACAGCTGCGGAAGCTGACGGATGATTTAACGCAGTCCGTTCGTCGGCCCGTCGCGATGCGAGCCCACGACCACGCCAGAACGATTCGGGTCCTCCTCTTGGAAATCTGTCTAGTCGCGTGGCCCGTCGCGCGTCGCGGGCGTTGCCCAACGTGTCTTTCACGGATCCTATCGTTCCACGTCCCCCGGCTTCGTTCGTCGGGCTAATTAACTCCGCCGAATGAAATGAGAAACACGCTCTTCACGCTCGACCGACGCACGAAACTTTTCTGGCTGATACGGGCGAGGTTCGCTGGGCTTGGTTCAACACATTTTCGTGTAATTACTTCGGCCTTTTCAGGATTTTGACAGGATTTCTCTAAAACTCTCTTAATCTATTGACTGCCAACCACGAGATATCTCGTAGTGGGTGCTGCAAGTTTAGATTGGCTACAAATGGCTATTTGAGTTAGGAACTATTAGAGAACTGTAGAGAACATATTGATTATAAAAAAAATACTGTAAACGCCATTGCAATATTATATCAGTAACTTAATATTATTATATTTTGTAAAACTTCGTGTTTTCTTTCAAATAAAACCGTGGCACCCAGGGCAAGACGCGCTAAATTTGCGCGTCACCCCAATCAAAGGGGTTGCTGCTACAGTAATTGTTATCGTTGCCCTATCTCTCATTTTGATCTTTTTTAGAGAATCTCGATTCTTCGTCGAAGATTTTTACTCCGGTATAAGAGAATCGATAAATTCGACAGGCTCTACGAAATTTCGAACGTTTAATCCAGACGTTGACCCGCGCGAACGCCCGGAATGGATCGTTATCGACGCTAAATTCCAACGGCAAAGTTTCAAAACCATGTTGAAACCACAATCGCGCTCGAATCGTCGCTTTCGCGCGAAACGTGCAAATCGACCGATATTCGTTAGCACCTCGGCCGCCAGATTTCGCCGATTCCCACGAGTATCATTCGAGTTCCAGGGACAGAGACAAATGTAGCCAACAACAATGATTAATGGCTCCATAGTGCGCGCTCTCGGTTTTACGTTATTATGCAGTAACTCGTGGCGGCGGACGAAAAACTGTTGGCACTGGCCGGTCCTCGTCCACCGGCAGCCGCCGCGCCGACACGTACGGGTCGTTTGGTTTGTTCCCGATGCAAATCGCGCGCGCGTGGGGGTATAAAAGGCGGAAAAGCGAATTCGCAAATTTCTTTCGATCGCAATCGGCCCCGCGGTTTCGAACAGGTCCTCGAGCGGACTCGCCGGCTACTTCGAGATTCCAGGGAAACCGGCGATTGTAAAACTCGGCCGCGTTCATCGAGCGTTAATCATTGCCGCGGCGACACCTACGCGGTATCGCCGGTGATCGGCTGACCCGATAAATCAAGCATCCAGAAATTTATTATTCCGCGAATTCCAAGCGGCGGGGACCGGCGCGCCGCGAGGGGGGAAACGGGCGAAAGGTCGCTCCCCGCTCGGCCAATAAATTTAATTAACGGATAGGCGAAAGCGTCGGAAGCGTGGACCGCGCCGCGCCGCGCGGTTAGATCGCTTTTCCCGCGCGGAAAAATCCCCGTGCCGCTTTCGGTCCCGCCGCTGCCCCATAAATATCGATGCGGCCCGTTCTGCTCCAGCTGAGACGCTTGCGCAATGTTTCGCGCGCTCGACGAATGCTCGATGAACCGCCTCGCCGATGCAACACACCGGATAGAGATGCGCCGCGCGAGACGAACGAGTCGGCCGGTTTTCACCGCTTTTCTCGACGCGACCGAATGTTTTGAAACATTTCCTCCTCGAGGATGGCGCGGCGAGAGAGGCGCTGGTTACAAATGAGGCGGCGAGGGAGAACGCGAAGACTCGGAGTAATGGGACAGCCTGGGGCTAAAGTAATTATTTCTCCGTCTTTGGAACTGGGAATAGAAATTATTTCGATGGCTCTCCCGGAAACGACTAGGGAACGACAATTTGTTGACGGCGAGCGACGCGGGGATTCGCGTAACGAAACGTTGTGCAACGTTCGACGAAGAAACCGCGTCTTCGTTCCACAGTCTTGTTCGTCTTATTTTCAGTGCACGCAACTTTTTAGTCGGATCAAAAATAGTTCCATTTTTGCCGGGAGCGCGGCAAATTGTACGAGCAGCGGTCGATGGAACGCCAAATAATTTCGAACGTATCGTGGACCCAAACGAATTAATTTCGTCCCCCGTGAAAGAAATGCTAATGAATCGGAGGTTCCGTTTAGAGGAAAAAGGAGTCGGTTGCCTTAACAGGAAAGGGACGAACGGCAGCACGTGGTCACCCGTTCGAACACGACACCGGCTTGTCGAAACAGCGGGATCTACCCCGACGTTCGGCCTCCCGGACAAATGGATTTAGGAAGATTCCGCTAACGAATCCGCTGATTTATCGCGGCCGAGGCTACGGTCCCCCGGTTTTCTCGGTATCGGTTCGGTTTCCACCGGCTACGGCCGACCGGCCAAGAATTATTACGTTTCGGTCGAAAGGGACGGAAATACGAGCGCGGGTTGTTCTGTAACAAGAATCACTGTATGGTAAATAATTACGGTGGCAGCTGGCAAAGCGGCTGTATCGAGGCTCGGGGTGCGAGTAATGGGCTATGCGTTAGCAGTTAGAGAAACGACCTGTTGAATTCCGGGCTCGATTCGCGGGGGTGGCTTCTGGATTCGGTTTCGCGAGCGTAGCGGTAATTAGACCGTGGATTTACGTGGCAATTTTAAACTCGGTGTTCTACTTCGATACACCGTTTTTGTGCCGGCGCTGCCAGGTCGATCGAGACGACAGGTTCTAGAGTTTTTATTTTACTGCTGCCGATGTTAAAAAATTGCTAAGAATGTTTTCTCCAACGTAAAAGTGTTCTCGCATTAGTAATCCTTTAGTAACGTCTACGATCGTTTTCGATTCGTTGTTTCATTCTCATTAAATTATTCGTCGCCGTCTACCGTTTTTATAATAGTCTCGTTATTACGAAATAAAATGGCATAATACAATTAAAAAGTACAATCTCATTTAAGACTAGGTTTAACGATCGGTTCTTTGACACGCGTACCTAACGAACGCGCGCGGTAATCGTCGAGATTACGCGAATAGTTCCCTGACATTTTGGCAAACAATGGAACGAAATAAAAATCGCGATTCACCGTATAATCCGAGTCCGATTGGAAACGGCTGGATATAGATTATGAGCCGCGCGAGATTATAATACTAACGGAGCAGGCGCGGCGGAGCGAGTACGATAATTAAAAGCGCTAAGCAGCCCACGCGAATGTCTGTATTCAATTTCAATCTCCGTTAAATTACACGCTTTGCCTGAATCGCGGCGTTCGTAAGGTCACCGGGTCACGTGTCGCGCGAAACAAGAAGCACGATTTCATTCGATCTTGTTCGTCTCTTCTATGCTCCGGTCCTCGCCACCCCCGCACCCCTCGCCGTCGCGTATTTACGCGCGAATACGATCCACGAAACGCATTGGATTTCACGTGAATCGCGCCCCCACCACGAATTACCGGTTGGATTTATCGGCCGAGAAAGAGACTTGCCCCGGTGTGTTCTCGTAATCCTTTGCCGTCGACCACGGTGCCGGCGCTTTTGATGCGTGGGCGTGGGCCACGCAAATCGAATCGCTCGCCGTCTCATCACGTTCCGTCGAAATCACAACCATTCCGAGTAATCGAACCTGATTATTATTTATGCTTTTGCGCCACGGGTACTGCGGCGCTTCCGACCTGTGACGAATCCTTGTAACATACGATAGCTAAATTGCGCTCCGAGGGAAAGTTAATTGCAGCTGCAGCGTTCGCGCGATGTTTCGAGTCTCGCCGAAAGAAAGTCCTCAATTTGTCGGAAACGATCGCTGTGCAAACTTTTAATCGGACTGGACTGTGGTTATTTTACGAATTCATAATGTATACGTACACATACGAATTTAATAAACGTGAAACGCAGGCGTTTCGACGGATTAATATCGTTTCACCTTATTTTGCGGATCTTTATGCGAAATAAATATTTGCGCTGAAAATACTCGTGTATCGACAGTTTTCTATTCTTTAAATTTTAATAGTTCGAAGTTACGAGCACCCAATTTTGTCAGAAATGCATCAAATTCGTAGTCTACAGATTACTTCGAGAGCTAGCTGTGCAGTTAGCGAGTACTGCGTCGACAATTTTCTGAGTGATCCGTAACGCTGTCCTCGAATTCTAACGTCAGTCCACCGGTCAAGGTGTGTTCCACGGTCTCAATCGACGCGGTGCACGTGGCCTGGTCTCGCCACCTACGAATTTACGAACATCCTGGACTACCACTATCTTTTCTTCCGCGGCGTTGTACACCGCATATCCACGGTCCCCGACACAAATACGAACATTTCGCTGTCGACACGCTACGGGCATGTTTTCTCAGCTGGTGCCCTAACTCTCGATCTCGACGATCCTCGGTCCCCCACCTCGGTTAGCTCCGGCTCCGGCTACGGGTCCGGCTCGACGCTACACGGCAGATCCTGGTGGATCCTTTCAAGACACGGTCGGCTACCCACAAAGGATCTGCCCTTTCATACGCACGTTATTATACTCTTTACAGAATATCGTTCCACCTTCTCCCTTTTGGAAGCGGAGGAACGGAAAAAAGGAGACAAGAAGGGAGAGAGAGAGAGAGAGAGAGAGAGAGAGAGAGAGAGAGAGAGAATGAGAGGACTCTCGGAGCAGGTCGAGGCGGAACGCGCGTGTTGGTGTTACACGCCGTTGTACGTGTGCACGCCCACGCATTGTAGCTCGAGCCTCGGGCCAGGGTGGACGTTTCGACGAAAGCCTCGAGATTTTCTCGTTTAATTTGTTGTTATAGCTGCTTGAGACGCGGATCGGGCCAGTCGCTCGACCGTACCGATCCTCAAACATTCATTATGCTTTTTTGTAACGCATCTCCACCGACCCACACCGTTGCCTCGCACCGACGTCCCGCTATTGCGGCTTTTCCGCGGCTCCGTGTTTGCTCGGCACTCGCAATCTGTGTATACATATTTGCCCTATCCACCCCCGTCCACCCTATCCGGCTAACCGTCTCTATTAATCGAGACGGCTTTTGTGCCAGCCCGGCACCGAGCCCCATGAGAGATATTTAACAATGCGACAATGCCGTATCGTCGAATTGTTTTTCGTAATAGTCTATCAACGCTTTGACCGGCCCGTTTAATAGACGCGACGCCATTGGCGTTCGGCGGGCAGGAATTAATTCGCGTTCGGAGCGCGACGGAGATCTCGATGCGAATTTCCATTCAAATTCGTCGAGGTCTTCGGATCGGCGCGTCGACGCCAGGCGAAGTCTTGCGAAATCAAATTCATTCGAGCTTCGTGCGATTTCAATCGCGAGAAATATCTGCTCGGATAATGAAATTTCTCGGAAGAATTCTTACGCAATCGTTCCAACGATATCGGTAGCCACGAGAGAACAAAGGTCAAGAACCAATTCGACGATTACGGCGTTGAAATCGCGAATAAATCAAGAAGCGGTTGTCCGCCGAATCGCGATTTTCTGTAACCGACGCGGAAACGTTTCACCCTGCGACAAAGATTCACGGTCCAGATACGAATGTATAGCGTCGGTCGAGCGTTTAGGATCTGCTATACTGCTTTTTCTCGTAGCAAGCACTTCCTCGAGAGCCCCCGATACCCGGTGGTAAAAGCGATGCTCCAATAAAACGCACTCCCCGAGGAGATAATTTGCACTCACCGAGCTCGATCGAGCAGTTGATCGAGTCCCTTTCAACCATTGCGACGCGGATTGCGCCCGATGCGATTAGGGAATGGTATTATCGCGGTCCATTAACGATTGTTTGGGAGACGAGGCGAGTCAGTCGAGGACGTTCGATCGGTTTTAAGGGATGCAGCTCAGGCTCGACATGGAAAAGTTAGTGGAGCGTGGGACAGCGCCTAGTCGGATCTCTTCTGTCTGATTTGGCACATTTTCCTCCCCTGTTGGCGGCGTCGCTCTTGGCTTTCCGATCGGCGTTCCTCTTGAATTATTCTTTAGGAATCGTCGTCGGCACACTCCGGGAAGAGTACACATCGGAACAGTCGAAGTCGCTCGGCTGGTTCACACGGAACCACGGATTTCCTGGCGGCGGCTCGTCTTCCGATAACTGGATCCGCTGGATTCGGTCGAACGGGAAATAATTTATCGAATTTACGATGCTGATAAATCTTTAGGCTTAACGGCCGTTCACATCCTTTATTATTATTATTATTATTATTATTATTATTATTATTATTATTACTATTATTATTGAGTAGGCGAACGCGTGAGAATCAGCGATGGTTCTTAATAACATCCAACACGATCAGTGAACGTCCTGTTGAAGACATGGCGAGCTTCTCGGGACGGAAAAACCGGGCCAAAGCATTCTAATAAGAGTCGATTCCTTTCTTTCACGGCTGTTTTAAAATCATCTTCCGATATCGAACCGTCGCGATCCACGTCGAGCTTCTTTAGCAAGAGATCTATGAGATCCTTCGAACAGAAAAAAGAATCTGTTTCCGAAGAGCCGTAACATTTTCATCATAGTAGATAGAAAATGTCTCAGAAAGATTTTGTTGGGCCAGTAAAATATATTAAACGCTATGCTATGTATATTGTACGCTGATGTTACTAAAAATATGCATAATTTTATGTCGATAGAGAGTTTACAACTATTCACGTTACTTTAACAGTTTCGTCCGGGTTTTCGTCGTTCTGCAGTTTGATCAAACACCCGCGCATTATGGGAAATATTTGGTCCCTTTTCAGTCTATTAGTTTTCAGATTGTCGTACACCTAGTTCCACATAACGATTAAAATTTTATAATTACAGCATAATTGGTCAGGAATTTCCAAATATAGGTTAACACGAAGAAAGTATTTCTTTTAATGCTAAGATATTTAGGAATTAAACAATTTTGCTGGAAGAAGTAAACATTGAAAATAATATAGCGATATATAAATAATATAGAAATATTACTTTGTAAGTGAACTGTATCTTCTCATCCAAGGAACCGCGCAACGCCACCGAAAGTCCCTCGATCCATTGATCGACGTGTATCTACGACAATACGTTCCAACATCTGCCTCTTAATTAGCAGTTTCCGATCGTTCGTTGTGTTACCTGCAACGCGTTTTTCGTATCGAAGACACCGAACAACCTATCGATTAACAAATGGCGTATGTTCTCCGTAAAATCCAAACCCGATTGGAAAATGTCGCGAAATATTGATCGGCTCATGGGGCCCAACGTCTGCACGCATTTTCGATGAATTATCGCCAAAACTGTGAGAAAAGCGAGGTGGCGTGTAACAAATTTTACGATCGATGGAACAACGAAAATTGATTCAGGCATAACCTTCAACTTCTCTGAGATCGTAGTGCGTATGCCTTGACAATCTTTTGAACTTCTCCACATTTTTCGTTCTGTACACGATTTCTTTGAGCGTATTGTTTAGTTGGTCGATCGGCGTTTCAGCGGGCATTGTTGAAAGTTGTTGGTCGTCGAGTTACTTAACAATTTTGTACGGTCAAATTGGTTCCGAAAGTTTGTTTCTCCATTTCTAAATGGAACTGTCAATTGTTCGAGTTTTAGATTTAGTAAATTTCCAAGTGTATTTTCGTATTTTAAAAGACGAATTTGCAATAATTGATCTTTCCGAGCACGTGAAATTATGAAGCTGTGGATTAATATGCAAAGTAAAACGCTTCTTGGAGAAAACGCCAAAGATTGGAGCCATGTAAAAATTTCTCTCTCCGCTTAATAATTTCAATAACTGTAACAAATTGTATCCATATTCTTCCCACTGTTTTAACTAGCCTCTATTACTTTTTGTCATAAATGCATAAAAATTGCAATCTAATCTATGTTATATATTTTCTGTAATGTTATAACCAGTTTTACAAATATGTACATACAATTATATTACAACTTTTACAGCATTACAGTTCGAGCGAACACTTTTCAGCATAAATAAACAATTGTTACAGAAATTTAGAAAAATAGAAGGGGCGAATGTCGGCCCATTAGCTCAGTTGGTTAGAGCGTCGTGCTAATAACGCGAAGGTCGCGGGTTCGACCCCCCCATGGGCCAGATTGATTTTTTTCTATCTCGAATATGCACTATTCGAGTGAAATATGCACATGTAACAGCGGACTGCATCGGCCCATTAGCTCAGTTGGTTAGAGCGTCGTGCTAATAACGCGAAGGTCGCGGGTTCGATCCCCTCATGGGCCAGGTTTTTTTTTACCTAAACCCTGAAACAGCTATTTTGCAATAAATCGGCGATAACGTTAATTTTGGACATAGGTCCGTTAGTTTAGCAGAGACGTGGTCACGTTGGGGGGAAGATGAACCATGTTTTTGCGAGGAACACGGTCGCGGGGATGTTTATGAGAAAGGATACAGTGAAAATTGCTTTTTCTTGTCTTCGGAATCAGGACATTGTTCCCAAGGGACTGGCCACGAAGTGGATCGAAAATATTTTTTGATAAGGGGACTTTTTTCGACCTCTCGGCGCTTACCCCAGAATCTCGGAAGTGAATATCGTGAAAATTAAATTAAAACACCATGTAATAATTTTTAACGATGTTACACGGTGCACAGGACGAGGACCCTAAACTAGCAACAACATTGTTTACGTTTCTATAGGTTTGCATACAACTTCAACCTTGCATCGACCTTCAAACGCAATGTTTATTTTGAAAGAAATCTGATTAGACCGTCCTGGCGATAACGCCAAGGTCATAGATTCTAGTGTAAACAAATATGTTTTGTCTAGAACACTGATATAATTATTTTGCAACAAATAAACAAGAACCGCAGCTACGAATATCGGCCCATTAGCTCAGTTGGTTAGAGCGTCGTGCTAATAACGCGAAGGTCGCGGGTTCGATCCCCCCATGGGCCAGATTTATTTTTCTATTTTGAAAATTTAACACTTTTTAAGAAGAATTATGCAGAAATAGCAACGGTCAGCGTCGGCCCATTAGCTCAGATGGTTAGAGCGTCGTGCTAATAACGCGAAGGTCGCGGGTTCGATCCCCCCATGGGCCAAAATTTTTATTTCTAAGCACCGAGAAGGTCTTGTTGCAACAAATAAGCAACAACGGTAGCTCTACATGTCGGCCCATTAGCTCAGTTGGTTAGAGCGTCGTGCTAATAACGCGAAGGTCGCGGGTTCGATCCCCCCATGGGCCAGATTTATTTTTCTATTTTGAAAATTTAACACTTTTTAAGAAGAATTATGCAGAAATAGCAACGGTCAGCGTCGGCCCATTAGCTCAGATGGTTAGAGCGTCGTGCTAATAACGCGAAGGTCGCGGGTTCGATCCCCCCATGGGCCAAAATTTTTATTTCTAAGCACCGAGAAGGTCTTGTTGCAACAAATAAGCAACAACGGTAGCTCTACATGTCGGCCCATTAGCTCAGTTGGTTAGAGCGTCGTGCTAATAACGCGAAGGTCGCGGGTTCGATCCCCCCATGGGCCAGATTTATTTTTGCAACATTTGACAATGTTTATCCGTTAAGAGATGCAACGAGTACGGCACTCGTCAACTAAATGTTTTTTATTTTTCAGAACTCGATTTTCTATTTGACGATCAAACTTTAAACGCGATACACTGTCGAGATATTTCTTGGCCTTTTGTGGATCGAGGGACTGTCTCACGAGGAGGGTGTCTAATTTTTGTTAATACTTGTTCCAATAAATCTACGTCTTTCGAGCTTCTGAAACGAAAAATCGCTAAAATAAACTCTAAATTCGACGAGAAATCTGCGTTGAATTAATTTCTACAAAATTCTGCTGTTTAATCGCAAGATCTCATCTACCGTGGAACGCGCACAGATCACGTTAGAAGGATCTAATAAATTGCAGAATTAATCGTAAGGTGAAAACAGTCGAGATCCGTGAAATTTGGTAACGGACGCGCGATTCTCGGCGAATATCTGCTGCCAATAACGCCGTATCGAGCAAGCGGACTGTGATAGCGATAAAAAGACGATCACGTGGCGCATCGCGGTAACAACGCCCACGAGGCCTGATCCGCGCGTTTCGCAAACGGCTCGATACGATCTCTCATCTTTGAGGAGTTCACATCGTTCGGGAGATTATCATAAAGGCGTGTGTGCGCCCGCGGGGACGACGTATTTCGCAGGGAAAAAACTCCCGCGAAATGGCCCGTTCGTGTGAGCGGGCCAATAAAAAGATGGCCGGTTCTTACGTGGCCGCGAGATCCCGTTCGGCATCGAGAAGGAAACGAATTTCGGAGTAATAACCGATGAGTCGTGAACGTGAACGCGAACGTGAACGCGAACGCGAACACGGATCCGTTCCACGGGAGCTGCTCGACCGGCGTAAAAGACGGCGATAAAGTCTCGCCTAAGTATATCTAATGACATCATTTGGGAGGCGAGCGTAATAAACAGGCACAAAGGCGCGGGGGTTTCGTCGAGAATGTAAAAACGTAGAAACGGCTTAAGAATAAGGAGAGGGAGAGCGCGACTTTAAAGCCGATAGCATCCGTTCTGGAATTCGTTTACCGAACGCTGGGATCGATCGAGGGGAACTTCGCTCTAATCCGAGCCGTTCGATATACATACGAAACAGTTGATTATTTTCCTTCGCAGAAAATTCATTCGTCGCAGCAACTTTGCGAGCCAACAAATTACATCGAGGAACAAAGCCTGGTATAATTCTTTTCGACGATTTTATGTAGAAAAAGAAAACATCCTTAGCTCCATTTTGGTACGTCGACGTTCTCGAAGCCATTCGATCTGTCCACCCATTTTTGTCATGGACGCAGCAACGAGTGCAGAATTTTGCAGCATTTCGTAAAATCTGCAGCAACGAGTGCAGAATAAGTATTTCAGACCAACGGCATCGACCACGAAGACGTTTCTGAAATCCATTGCACGCTTCCGAATCGAACGATACGGCCGACACGAATCCAACGAATTCTTAGGTCTCCGATATCCGGCGATCCAATTCGCTCCTCCAGTGTCGAACGTACGGCCTGAAATGAATAGCCAACTAGCCCACACACACCGCGTCCACGATCAATCCGCAATCAGCCGGCGCAATTGTCACCGCGCGGTTTCAAATCCCGCCGGCAAGCCGAAGCCGAAGCCGAAGCCCAAGCCGAAGTCGAAGCCCACACACGTTTTCCATAGCCGCCCAGATAAATGGCCGCCGTTCGCAGAAACAATTACACGGCAGGAACAAGATGAAAATCCGCTGGCATCGAAGTCGACAGTGCCCCATACCAACGGCGTCCACATCGCATTACCGACAATCCGCGCGCAGCATTTCAATGATCTCTCCGGGCCCGACCCCTGTCACCGTTAAGCACTCAATCAAGCCCGACTGTCCGAGCGAAACAATACGCGAATGAAAACGCGAGGCAGGTGGGTGGGCGTCGCCGGCGATAATATGCATTCGAACCGGCGCGGCGCGGCGATCTTCTCTTCAACAGAGACACGACGACTCCTCGCATGCACCTCCGAGTCCCTATAATCATCGGCTCGTTAAGTAGGCAAATAGCCCCGCGACCTTTACCCTGTAAGAAGAATTACTTTGTTCCTATCGTACGATTAACCGTCTTTAATCTCCGAGGAATGCCTTTCACGATTTTACAACAGGTGGATTATTACGCGAGTCTCGATGCAACGATGTTCTCGTTCTCTGCACCGCGTTCCGTTATGTTAATGCGCGATCGTCCGATTGAATTTATTATGTCAATTGTGCAGCAGCATTTACGTTCGAGTAACAGGGTTCTAAAAATATTCCCCTCCCGTCGAGGTTCCGGTTCGATAACGCCTCGTCGAAAGAAGAAGAAGTCGAGGCTCCGATCTCGAGCGATCGTCGGAAGGATTCGATATAGTTTTCGAGAAGGGCAGCAAGCCCGGTGCGAACTGTCCAGGAGGGGATGAGGCCGGATGGGATTCCTCGTCTCCTCTCAGGCTTGAAAACCGAACGACCGTAATCTTGGGCTATCTAACGTTGTAAATGTAGCGAGGTGATGATTTGCGACCTCCCTGCAGCGAGCCCGGGCCCTGGGGTGGCGAGAGGGGCCCCCAGAGCCCTTGGTCCCTTAGCCTTAGATTCAATTTCGCGGGGCGTCAACGGCTGACGCGACGTCCGCCCACCTCTTGCGGGACGTTGATGTACGACACGGTGCACCGGGCCGGCGGACGGACGCGTGAAACTCGGACGATTTGCGTGTGGATTGTTTCCGACCGGCCAAAACGATGGAAAGTAATACGTTCCTGGTAGTTTATTTGCCAGCCCGGCCACTCTTGTTTGCAGACTCCACGGGGAGAGTGAAGGACGTCTGGCGAATGAGACCGAGGGATAACTGTTGCGAAGGTGGTGCGGCATGGCGCGGCGTTGTGTGCTCGCCTCTTTCGCCGGATGTAATTGAATCTGTCGAAATGGAGCTGTGTGTTTTGTACACGGCCTGATTAAAGGGAACATCGGACGCCGCCGGCCGAGCCGGCCTTTAAACGCTCTCGCTTGCTCTCTACCGGTTAATGGCGAACAATCCGAAAGTAAATGCT